GGCTAACCTGCGCAAATCAGGTAGAACGCCTTCTACCCATTTGCACAGACCCAGATCTGGTTAATTTTGGTTCAAGATTTGAACCTAGCTTTAATACCACTAAAGGGATGAGAGATCCATCATATGGATGGCCGAACCCTATAGGAAGGCTGGGCGAAATTTCAAAAATTTCTCTCTCTCCCATGTGGGAATCGCATTCCCTATTTTAGAAAACTATATTTTCAAGGATCAATCTTTAACCTAAACCAGACCAGATCTGAGACCAAAAGGGAGTGGAGGGATATACCAAATACGAAGTAGTAATAACCTCCAATGAAAGTGTTCACGCCCAAGGAATAATCTAAAGACTGCTTCCACCGAAGATGACACGGTGCAGTATGGAGCAGAATCATCAAGATGGTTCTTCAGCAAGAATCTGATGGAGGGCTAGTGAGCACGACTTCATATTAGCTTTTCTGCCAAAAGGTAATATCAAGAACTCTTCTTGATCGCTCCCACAGGTGGAGATTGAACTAGTATGGCAGCAAGAGCAGGAGAGCAGGAGAGCAGGAGACAGTGCAGTCAAACTGTGTTGTCTCTCTCTGGAATTCAGCAGTCAGTCAGATGATTTCTGATGTGTGCTGAGGGTTCGCCCTGCTCTCCTATTTATAGCCTTAAAGAGAGGTTCTCCTAATCCCATTAGGAGTTTCCTAACCAAAATCTTATATTTGGATCTGGACTCTCTTTAAGAGATAAGGATAATCCCGTATCTTATCTGCAGATAAATATCAACCCTCCTAATCTAACTACGAGTTTCCTGATCCAAATCTTTATTTGGATCTGGACTCTCTAAGTGGATAGGCATAATTCCTTATCCTATCTGTTGATCTAAATCCCAGAACCGCCCCCTTTTAATTAATTTCATTAAGTCAGTTCGAATTGGGCTTTAGGCCCATTTAGTCTATCTGCTCACTTAGCCTCCTAACTGCTGCCCAGTTGATTATCTTTGTATGGTGTGGGACCCAAACATTGATCTACACATCAGCCACATGGGTTCAGCCCAGCCTCTGTTACAAGGCCTAGCCGAATTCACTGTAGGAGACAGTGAAC